CCCGGGGGCTAGACTCCCCCGGGGGGATCCACGATCCGCCAGAGACAGGGCAACAGGACACACTGAAAACCAGCAGGAGCCTGAACAGCGAAGCTCAGCCTCAGGCCAAATTCCGGGGACACTCGCACTTTGGGGCCCAGGGCTGTCTGGCCTCTGTCTTCCTAAGACCTGGGGGCTCACTCACGCCATCGCCCATGTAATATTTACTTATTGAATGTCTGTCCCATGCCGCATGTTGTACTAGGCCCTGGGGAGAGCACTGTGGACCAGACAGGATTGGTTCCTGCCTTCAAAGACCTTCCAGTTGTGTCTCTCAAAGATTACGATAGAGAGAACAAGGCCCAGCTTGGTCAAAGGCCACCATCAGGCGCCTCGTCTCTGAGACCTAACCTCATGCCTCTCCCACCGGGCACAGCGCCACCCTGTGGGCCCAGCTTCCCGACTCCAGGCACCTTAGCCAGGACTGTGCGTTCAGGGAAGGGCTCTGAGTGGACGTGGAAGCTGAGGTCTGAGAGGAAGAGATCCTTGGGCAGAGGTGACAGGGTGGATGAAGACTCAGAGGCCAGGGGGAGCCTGCAGGTTTAAGAACTAGAGAAAAGCTTCCGCAGAGCTGGAGCTTCTCCTAGGAGGGGCGTGGAGGAGTGAGAGGAGGGTCCGGGCAGTGTTGTTGCGCCCTGCTCTGGTTTTCTTCCAGCACTCACGCCACCTGACACATCCACTTTTTACTGGCCTGCTTCAGACTGTGCCCCACCCACCAGCGTGGAAGCCCCTGGGGCAGGCTCCTGTGGCTGTCGGTGCTCCTGTCGTCTGCTCCATCGCTGTGTCTGCAGAGCCTGGAAGGGTGCCTGACACACGGTAGTTTGGTGCCTATGTGGTTGTGAACGAATGAGTGAAGGGGTGGACGGCGGAGGCGTTACAAACCTGCCAAAGAGTTTGGCTTTATCTGGAGAATGTGCACCGGATCGCATGTATTGATCAAGGCATCGATCTCCCTGCCTTGTCCAGCATGGTGGTGTGCATCTGTAGTCCCAGCTACTCGGGAGGCTGAGGCAGGAGGATCACTTGAGCCCAGGAGTTCTGGGCTGTAGCGTTTTGCAGATTGGGTGTTCACACTAATTTCAGCATCAATGTGGTGATCTCCTGGGAGTGAGGGCAATAAGGTTGCCTAAGGAGGGATGAACCAGCTCAACTCGGAAACAGAGCAGGTCAAAACTCCTGAGCTGATCAGCAGCAGGGTCGCATCTGTGAATAGCCACTGCACTCCGGGCTGGGCAACATAGCACGATCCTAATCTCCCCCCGCCAAAAGAAAATTTCCCTGCCTTTTTTTTTTTCCAATTTTAGAGCCAGGGTCTGGCTATGTTTACCAGGCTGGATTTGTGCTCCTAGACTCAAGCGATCCTGCTATCTCAGACTCTTGAGTAGTTCCTGCCAACTGTCTTCAGTGTGGCCTTGAGTAGTCCGAGGATGAGCTGTGACATCCCTTCAGGCCACCGCCTGGGTAGGCCCACATGTCTAACTACAGTGCAGACAATGGAGAAGTCAGATCCTTGTTCTTCTTTTTTTATTTTTTTGAGTAAGATTCTCACTCTGTTGCCCAGGCTGGAGTATAGTGGCAGGCTCACAGCCACCACCGCCTTGACCTGCTTGGCTCAGGCGATTCTTCTGCCTCAGCCTTCCAAGTAGCTGGAACCACAAACACACACCACCACACCTGGCTAATTTTTTGATTTATTGTAGAGACGAGGTCTCACCAAGTTGCACAGGCTGGTCTTGAACCCCTGGACTCAGGCAACCCTCTCACCCAGGCCTCTCAAAGTGCTGGGATTACAGGTGTGAGCCACCACACCTGGTTTTTGTTCTTTTTTTTTGAGTTGGAGTCTCACTCTGGCACCCAGGCTGGAGGGCAGTGGCACACTCATGGCCACCGCAGCCTCAACCTGCTGGGCTCCTGCGATCCTTCCGCCTCAGCCTTCCAAGTAGCTGAATCTATAGGTGCACGCTACCATGCCCAGCTAATTTTTGATTTATTGTAGAGACGAGGTCTCGCCAAGTTGCCCAGGTGGGTCTCAAACCCGTGGGCTCAAGCAATCCTCTCACCTCAGCCTCCCACAGTGCTGGGATTACAGGCTGAGCCACCGAGCCTGGCCTATTCTTATTTCTAAGCAACTGACACAAGACATCGGTTCTGGAAGAAGTAGGTGATCTTGCTTTTTTCCTTTGGGGTTTACACCACTTACTCAGAAGGCTCAGAGAAAAGCATTATCACCGGGAGCTGTGGCTCACACCTGTAATCCCAGCACTTTGGGAGGCAGAGGCGAGAGGACTCTCTGAGTTCAGGAGTTTAAGACCAGCCTAGGCAACATGGCAAGACCTCATCTCTACAATAAACCAAAATATCAGCCAGGCGTGGTATGCACCTGTGGTTCCAGCTACTTGGAAGACTGAGGCGGAAGGATTGCCTGAACCTAGCAGGTCAAGGCTACGGTGCCCGTGAGCGTGCCATTGCACTCTAGTGTGGGTGACAGTGAGAGCCCAGGGTCCAAGGCTTTCTTGGATACCTCTCAAGGGAGCTCTCAGGTCACCAACAGCAAGGATCAGGTCCAGGCTGCCATCTTCCCATCTGCCAAATGCACCAGCCAGCCCCAGGAAAGCTGTCATCCAATGACAGAGGGCATAGTGCAGAAGTCGCACATGGAGACCTTCTGCATCTCATCAATTCCACAACCAAGTACTTTCACATTGAAACATCTGTGAAATCAGCATCACCACACGGCAGGCGTCAGGATCCGACCGACACCATCTTTCTTGGTGCTACTCAAAGTAAAGTGTGTCTTTCAGCCCTGGCACCACAAGTTTCATCAGGCGTAGTGTCTAGGGACCTTGGTCTATGGTTTCTTGCACATGGAACTGACTGGAAGCAAAAGGGCTGGAAGCCCTCTAAAGTTTTGAAATAACTGTTTTTCCAGAGAAACCACTAGCCCTGGTACCTTAAGGGATCCGCAAAAGCACCCCAGCCTGGACATTTCTAGGAAAGAAGCATTTCCCTGTTTTAAGCTGGTGCTGTTTTGGGTCTCTGTTACAGGCAGCTGAACCTATGAGCTGATCTCAGCTATGTGAATGTTGCAATTCTTGCTTGACAGAAAGGCGTCTGGCTTCTCTTCTCGCTGGTCAACAAAATTCTAACAAAACCACTGACTCCCACAGGTTCTTTGACTTAAATTTACCTGTGTGGCCAGGCTTGGTGGCTCAGTCTACAATCCCAGCACTTTGAGAGGCTGAGGTGAGTGGATTGCCTGGAGTTCGAGACCAGCCCGGGCAACTTGGCAAGCTCTTGTCTCTACAATAAATCAAAAACTAGCTAGGCATGGTAGTGTGTGCCTGTAGTTCCGGCTACCTGGAAGGCCAAGGTGGAAGGATTCCTGGAGCCCAGCAGGTCGACACTGGGGTGGCCGTGAGTGTGCCACTGCTCTCCAGTGTGGGTGACTGAGTGAGATACCAACTCAAAAAAATAAATAAAATAAATAAAATTACGTGTGGAACAAAATTTAAAAACAAGCACAACTAAAAAATGTGGCAAAGGGCTTGCATAGACACTTCTCCAAGGAAGATACATGAATGGCCGGTGAGCACATGAAGAGATGCTCACGTCACCAACCATCAGGAGATGCACGTCAAAACCACAAGGAATGCACCCATTGGGATGGCCACTATCACAAAACCAAAAACACAAGTTGGCAAGGATGAGAAACCAGAACGCTTGTTCACTGCTGGTAGGAATGGAAAACAGGACAGCGTTCTTCACAAAATTAAACATAGGCCGGATACAGTGATTCATGGTTGTAATCCCAGCACTTTGGGAGGCCAAGACAGGATTGTTTGAGCCCAGGAGTTCGAGACAAGCCTGGCCAACATAGTGAGACCTCATCTCTACAAAAAATCAAAAAATTAGTCCAGCGTGGTGGCGCACACCTGTAGTCCCAGCTATTCGCGAGGCTGAGAAGTCACCTGAGCCTAGGAGGTCAAGGCTGCGGTAAGCCATGATTGTGCCACTGTACTCTTGCCTGGGTGAGAGTGAGACCGAGACTCAAAAAAAAAACAACAAATGAACACAAAATTATGGTCACCACCCTAAGGTCCAAAAACCCTCCGAGTATTTACTCAACAGACCTGAGAACAAGGACTCAAAGAGACTCTGCTTCTCCAGAGTCCCAGCAAACCAGGGCCCGCAGCCGAGTCTGCCCCTCAGACACGTAAGGCTTGGATCATGTAGACAACTGACCTTGAAAAAGCCTCTGGAAGAGAGTGTGCACCCCAGATGGCCCAGGGCCCATCCCTTCCGGTCACCTTTTACCTGCCCAGTCACTGCTTTGAAGGTTGAAACTCCAGATAAAGTGAGGGAAGACTTTGGGCATGAATTCCTGTTGCCTGTTTTTGTGTTAATGGAGTCTGCGGCTCAGGGCTTTGCAGCCCTGCCTGTGCAGGGACAGAGCTGAGGCACCGGAGTGAGCAAGTTGTGGAGGATAGCGCTGCCCCCCAAACATCCCATGGGCTCTGTTCTGACCCCCAAGGGGTCTGTGTCCCACCTGTCCCTGCTGGGGCTCTGGATGGCCCACGACTGCCAGGGCTGGGCTGGAGATGGGCGTGGAGGAGCCACTTGGCCTCAGCATTTCCAGAAAGCCCCTCTGTCAGGGATCCTCAGGCCCCAGGAAGTGGGGGGGGGCACTTGCTCACTCAACACGAGCCAGGGCTTCCATGGAGCCCTCACTGGATGGCTTGTTAACAAGGGACCCTCACCACCCCTCCTTCCATGAAGTGGCAGGCCACCGACCCAGAACTGGGGTGAAGAGAGCGCCACCCTCATGGTGTGGGTGCACACAGCCAGCCTAGGCTGTCACCACCTTTTCTTCCTCAGGTGAGGGGAGGACAGGCCAAGAGGCTGGGGCACCCTCTGGGCACCATGGACAACCACAGGGCAGACCCCACACACATGGGACTCAGTGCTGCACAGAGCATGGAGCTTTATTTGCAAACATGTCACAGGATCCCCTCACTCCCAACCACAGAGTGCCCCTCTCTGGACCCCAGGTTGGAGATGAGCCTGGGCCTACTCTCCTCCCCATCTGCAGGACAGTGGGGCCTGAGCCACCTCCAGCTGAGACTGGGCAGGGCCTCAATCTCACAGGCAGCCTGCCTGAGGGGAGGCTGCAGGCCGCAGGAGTGCTATCATCCTCCAAGGGGTCAGTCTTCAGGGCTTCTGTCGCAGGGCATGGGGCCGGGGGACTTGGGGTTCTGACCAAATCGGGGTGGGGGGTGGGACCCGCACTGGCAAGGCCTGTATGGGGAACGGGGAAGTGTCAGGAGGCTGCGTGGGGACAGCAGGGCAGGTGGTGAAAGTGGGAGGGTCTCGAGGGATGCCTCGGGTCAGGGCTGGGGGTCGGGCCCTGCAGAGACCATCCCAGGCTCTACTCTCCCCCCTCCAAACCTACTCCCCAGGGGATGCTGCTGTCCCTGGGCCTGCTTCAAGTTATCTGAAGGTGTCCCTCTGAGGGCACCCCAGGCTGGGACACAATCTGGACCATACCAAGCGGGAAGGGCTGGCGGCTGACAGCTTCCAGTGCTGGGCCTCGGGGGAGACAGAGGCCCACAGGTCCAGGCTCTGGGGGGCTGAGCTTTTCTTAGACTTGGGAGGGAGAATGTCCCAGCCCAGCCGGCAGTGCTGTGGAGAGCAAGGGGTTAAAGGCGCCTGGCCTGGGCAGGCTCCCCACTGACCAGGCACACCTCCGTCAGGGAGAAGCTGTGTCCCCCATGGGGTAGGGGTGCCCTGAGCAGTCTGACCCATGCTCCCCCATGGCAGGGCCTGTGCCCACCAGTAGATTACCCGGCCTCCTCCGCCTTCCTGTCCCTACAGATCCAGCTACCCTGGGGCTCCGAGAGCTGAAACAGGGACATTCACAAACTTCCATGTGCGGCTCCACCCTAAGCACCCACATGTAGTAATTTCCTGAACGGCCCCACCTCACTTCCAACAGCCCCGAAGATGGTGCTGTGACACTCATTTCGTAGACGAGCAAACTGACTTTCCTCTGTAGCCCTTCTCTCAGCTGGGAGTGGGTGGGTCACCACTGAGCCCTGTCCTAACCTGAAGACACAGGAAAGGTCGTCTCCGTGGGAGGTACACAGAAGCAGAAAGGCCTGGATTCAAATCCCAGCTCTTCCACTGAGACACATACCCCTCTGTCTCAGTCTCCCCATCTGCAGGGGATATAGCAGTGCCTGCATTCTGGGTTGCTGGGGGCTCCATGAGATAATCCCCCTAAGGACTGTGCACACAGCAAGAGCCCAATAAATGGGGCCCATGCTCATTATGCCAGTGTGTGCGGGACATGCCCTGGAAGCCACGGGGTAACGGAGGAGGCCCACCCTCCACCAGCCTCATCAGGGTCCATTCTGGGGACTTGGGCCAGGCTAGGGGCAGCCCATCCCTATCCAGCCCCACACAGCTACTCACCCTGGACAGAGCGAGCGTGTCGGAGGCATCGAAGCTCTTCCGGCGGTGGATGCGGTACTGGTGCGGGGGGTCCAGGATGGACAGGGGGATGCTCACCCTGTGTGGGGGTACAGTGGGGGACCGCTGAGGTGCCACCCAGCTGCTAGGGGCCCAGCCCAGGACCATCGTCCTGCACTCTGCACCAGCAGACTCAGGCTCTTCCCTCCAGGTGTCTGATGCTACAGCCACTCACCTGACCTGCACCGGCTCCTCCAGGGTCCCAGGGCCCCGCTGGTCCCGCGGGGTCCTGCACAGGCGGCAGGGGGTGCCAGGATCCAAAGGCACCAGGAACAGGCGCCGGTTGACCCGGTAGCAGTACATGCCTGTGAGGCCCACAGAAGCAACAGCTCCTCCTGGGCCGGAACCAGGTCCCCAGGCCCTTACTGCCCCCAGCCACCTGGGCTGCCGAGCCCTCTGCGAAGCAAGTCTGGCCCACTGTCTTCCTAACCCCTTTCCTCCCAGGAGCCCTCAGCTGGGATGGAGCCCAGCAGGGCCTGGCCCAACCAGCTCTGGAAGCTGCTAGGCAGGATGGGGTGGGGTCACACAGGGCAACCCCTAACCCGAGGTCAAGTCTGAGCTCACCCTCACCAGGACTTGGCACAGCTGTCCAGATCTCAGGCCTCCTTCCCCAACACCTCAGAGGCCTGCCCTGGCCCCAAACCTTGACTGAACTGCTCTGGGGCACAAGAGAACAATGTGGGGGCTTGGGACCAGGGCAGCACAAGGCTGGGGTACTCAGCGGCCAGCTGAGGGCCCACACTCACATTCGTGGTCTTCCTCCATGCCACCGTTTTCCTGCAGGCCCAGGAACTGGGATCTGTGAGGGCGGGGCAATGAGCAGGCCCGGCAACAGGGCCCCTTAGCCATCCTGGCCCACCCTCACCCACTCATGCTCACTCAGGGTAGCTGGAAACACACTCCTCCTTGTTGGTTTCCCGGAACTCCTGAAGCTTCGAGAAGAAGGCCTCGGGCTGGCTGGTAATGGGGGAGCTGCTGTCCAGAGACCCTGAAATGGGCAAAGAACCGGGGAGCTGATGAGAGCCAGGCTGGGGCTGCTGTGTAGTCACTGGCCAGGGCCTAGGGGATGCTCAGGCCTGGCACCCCAGGCCACCTGCTTCACTCTCTACCATGCTTTGTCCAGACCAGGAGGGCACCCCCCTTACTGACTGCTGGTTTTACTTCAGTGACCGACTGCCCTGATGCACAGCCACTTATCCATGGAAAAATATTTATAGAGCCCTACAACACGCAGACAGTTTTATGTCAGGGAACCAAACAAAGCCCCTACACTCATGACACTTACATTCTAATGTGGTAACACATGAAATCTGTGATATAATACTGAAGGGGTCGGGCCGGTGGCCCATGCCTGTAATTCCAGCACTTTGGGAGGCAGAGGTGAGAGGACTGCCTGAGCCCGAGAGTTTGAGACCACCCTGGGCAACTTGGCAAGACTTCATCTCCATAATAAATAAAAATTAGCTGGGTGTGGGGGCACATGCCTGTGGTTCCAGCTACTTGGAAGGCTGAGGCAGAGGATTACTTAGCAAGTCAAGGCTGTGATGGTCGTGAGCGTGCCACTGCACTCCAGCCTGGGTGACAGAGTGAGACTCTGACTCAGAATAAAAACACTGAAGGGTAACACCTGCCAGGAAGCAAAAGAGCAGGGTCAGAGCCAAGCATGGCAGGGTAGTCATGCCAGGGGAGGTTGCCCTGAGGAGGTAATAGCCAGCAGAGACCTGAAAAAGCCATGCAGATACACTGGGAAGGACACTGCAGGCAGATGGGTGAGTAAATGCAGAGCCCCTGGGATGGGCGTGCGCCTGGAGTGTTTGAGGAGCACCAGGAGACGAGGGTGGCAGGAAGGGAGTAAGGGGTGAGGGCAAAGGTGAGGTTAGGGCCCATGAAGGGTTTGGGGACAAGAGGTGACACAACCAGATTGGTCATGTATTTTACAGAATTCTCTGCCTGCTGCGAGGAGACACAGCAAGGGTCCTGGTGGAGAGCAGTACAACTTACAATGGCTCAATTTAGGAATTTTCTTTTTGAGTTGGAGTCTCACTCAGTTGCCCAGACTGGAGTGCAGTAGCTGCTCCCAGCCACAGCAGCCTCTACCTGCTGGGCTCCGGCGATCCTTCCGCCTCTGCCTT